AGAGGCAACACAACAGGAACATCAACTATGGCTGGAGATAAACACGGCTACGCTTCCGCTATCATATGAGGTTAGGTTTCTCGTATACTATGGTTCATATAGTTAGACTATTGTATATCTAACATGAATGACAGTAGCAGAACTGTCGTCCATAGCTACAACAAGAAATCAAGATAATTGTTAGAAAAGGGATCCAAGATTAAGAAACTTCAACACTTAAAGAGTTTTTTTTTTTTTTTTTTTTTTTTTTTCAATTGGTATACTTTGAGCCCAAGATCACTTATCAATATGAGCAATTGAGTACCTATATACATTTGGTTCAAATGAAATGAACATTTCAATCAACTGAATATTTAGGATGAATGTCAGCACTGGCCATGGATATTTAGTTCAAAATTGATGATTTTGTTAAAACAGCACATCGGCACACCAACCACATTTGAACCTAATTATATATATATATATATATATATATATATATATATATATATATATATATGTATATATATATATATGTATGTATATATATATATATATGTATATATAAGAAAGTTACTGGTATTCCTCTCTTTCAAATTGGGTTTATATGAGAATATACACATTTCTATCACCTTTGATATCTATTGTCTTGATATTCAATTTTGTAGTATTCACTAGGGCTGAGCATTTCGGGTTTTGGTTCGATTTTTTTCGGTTTCGGTTTTTTGGTTTTAAAAAAATTAAACCATTCGGTTTAACAATAGAGTTCGGTTTGAAAAAGTTCCGTTCGATTCGGTTTCGGTTTCGGTTCGATTTTGGTGGAAGTCCACCTATTTGAACTTTGTTTTGTCTGATCGATTGTTCAGTTGGCTCACTTGGAATGCCACTTGAAGTGTTTCGTTGATGACAAGATGAAGAATCATCTATCTACATAGTTAATATTTGAAAAATAAGAATTATTAAATCACCAAATGTTGAGACTTATGACTTAGAGTTGAGGTCTAAGGAATTGAGGAGTTGAAATTATTAATTATTATAATATTTATATATAATACTAGCATTTTGTACGCGCGGTGCACGAAAATTTATACCCAACATTAAAAAATTGATAAATGCAAATAATTACAAATTATAGTTCAAATTATATTTCAGAATTCCTTGAAGTAGTAAATTTTAATTATTGTATTTGAAAACTATAGAGATGAACAAAATGTATATTTTTTTATTAATAATGTGAACAATTTTGATATAATTTATACTTTGTTTTTACAATAAATAAATAAAATATCTATAATACTAATCTAGTACCCGGTCACATATATTGGTGTGTGTGCGTGCCTATATATATACATATACATATGATTTACTATTCATAGAAATTTAATTTAAATATAATCAACAATTAAAGTAATTATATAATGATTTTAATAACCAGGACTATGTGGTCTAATGGTATCCGGGTTAGACTTCCATTTGGAAGGTTATGAGTTCGAGCCTCAGTGTGGAGGTGTTATTGGCTCTTTGTGTTTCAGTAGGTTGAGAAAATATATGAACAGATACTACAATGTAATAGAGCTAGTAGCATTCAAAAAAAATAATATAATGATTTTAATAAAATGATAATTAAAGAATATGAAAAAGATATATAATGATAGAGATATGAGAATTAGAATTAAATAGTAACAATGTAAGAGTACTTTTGTCGAACAAGAATGTAGTAGGGACAATTTTGTCCATTATAATTTAAGTGTACAGCATTTAATGAAAATTGTATACCTTTATTAGTATATAAATGTAAGTATTGACACAAATGTGGTTATAGCTTAATGGGTAAAACTCTTACTTTATAATTAAATGGTTAAGGGTTTAAACCTTACTTTGGATATTTAATACATTATATATCTATTATTATTTAAAAACAAAAAACAAAAAACAAAAAAACGAATGGTTTCTCGGTTCAGTTCGGTCTCAAACCAAAGATCGGTACTTGGTTTGAGGGAACCGAACTGAATTGGTTCGGTTTCAGTTCGCTTCTGTCCGGTCCGGTTCGGGTTACCCGAACCGAAATGCCCAGACTTAGCCCTCACTATAAGAATGTTGACATTTAGCGACGTTTTTTAAACGTCGATAAAAATAAAAATATGTCGCCAAATTGTCAAAGAGCACTGAAGTTATGAACCTTGTGAATGATGTGAGCTTAATTGTATATATTTCTAAGTGTTAGTTTGATCATATTTGTTTCGCTCAAGTTCATGAAATTATTACTTTAATTGCATATTCCCTTGTTTTATCATTTAGTTATGCTTTACACTTGTTTTGAATGTTTTACAGTGTTTGTTAATGTTTTGGAGTCATCGTAGGTCAATTCCAAAAGCAAGGGAAATTCTAGGACGAGTTTTGAGCCGAAGTGGACCGAATCGCGCCAACACAGGAAGTTCGACAGCTATTTGGTTCGAGAGGTCGAAGACTTGACGCGTCGAGAATTTCCAGTGCGGTCCGAGATGAGCAGCCGAACGCTTGACGCGTCGATCCTTGTCTCAATGCGTCGAGAAGTACTAGCGAAGAGACGAGCAAAATCGGCGCCCCAGATTCAACGCGTTCAGCTTGTTCTTGACGCGTCGAGGCGCCGAAAGGCTGGGCCGAAAGTTTCCAAAATTTGCGGGGAAGATTCCTAATTCGCCCAAGCTTAATCTCGCTATAAAAGGATGCCTTCCCTCAACCCTAGATTATTATGCTTAGTTTTGGAGACATGAAAGAAGAGAATTGAGAGCTACAAGTTGTCCTTGGAAGCAAGAAGAAAACTAGGGAGATTTGGGAGAATCACTTGGTTTATTCTTGTACTCTTTTGATTATTTGTAAACTCTTAATATTTGCTATGTATTGCTTATTAGCCATGTGTGGCTAATTTCCTTTAGAGATTCTTGGGTAAAAGTATTTATGAACCTATGTGCCTAGCTAGTTCTATAATTCTTAATATATTGATATTTGAGTTTTATACTTATGTTGCAATTGTGATTATATTGTTGATGCTAGTAGTTAATGGCCGTAATTACTTGTTTCATAGCTTTCTTTGTGTCATAATGGGAGTTATGCATAATTTAGGGCACACACAATTGCACTTAACTGTTGCACATTGGGAGAGGGCAAATTAGTTAAGGAATTTAATTCTTGATTGTTGTATATCGAGAGATGGTAGTAATTAGAAATTTATTATGAATACTTATTCTTATATTATTGGGTGTTTATATCACGTGAATGAATATTCACATAGGTTAGAGATTACGGGAGTAACTCTTGCTACTATTTGCATTCTCACACTTTTTTGAACCCAGATTTAGTATTGTTATTAAGTTTTGCACTAGGTGATTAAATACTTGAATCCCAAGAATCTCATTCTCTCCTTATTGTTTTCACAAACTTGCATACTTTATTTTAATTAGTTTTTACCATTGCTCAATCTCTCTCTTTTTGTTAGGATTAGGGGTATTATTTGTTTGAGAAATATACTGCAACCAAATTTGGTACCGTTGCCGGGGAAGTGTCGTTTAAGTATTGACATTAGTGAAAGTGTTATTCTAGAACACTATTCCATTTTTATTTTATTTTATTTTTGCTAACCGTTTACAAGTTGTTTTTGTTGAGTGTGATTTTGCTATAGATCTAAGAACTTGGTTTTGTATGCGTACACGATCTTTGGGGAAAAGAAGGATTATTGCCTTGAACCTTGAGATTGAGAAAAGAGCCAAGTTTCTTAGAAAACAAAGAAACATGGCACAAGACCAAGTCAACATCAATTTGAACCTTAATGGAGAGGGGGATGATAATGGAGTCAATCAACCACTACCCCCAGTGCGATCCATGTCTGATTACATTGCAGCCGATGTTGAGGCACATGATAGCATCAATGTGGCAGGTGTGGAGGCCAACAACTTTGAAATCATGCCGACTATTCTACATATGGTTGCTTCAGATCAATTTGGAGGGTCACCTACGGAAGATCCCAATGCTCATATCACAAAGTTCCTAAGGATTTGTGGCACTTTTAAGATAAATGGAGTCCCTTAAGAAGCTATAAAGCTACGTCTTTTTCCTTTCTCAGTAAAGGATAAAGCTCATAGTTGGCTCATCTCTCTCCCAGCCAATCATTTTGTTACTTGGGACCAACTACATGGAGAGTTCTTGAAAAAGTTCTACCCAATTTCCAAGACTCAAAAGATGAGGAGAGTAATTCATAATTTCAAGCAACTGGCAATTGAATCTTTGACTAAGTCTTGGGAGAGATTTAAAGAGATGAGAAGGCAGTGTTCACACCATGAGATTCAAAGTTGGGATTTGATGATGGTATTCTATGAAGGTTTGCTTGAAAATTCAAGGGTCTTAGTTGATGCTTCTTCGGGTGGACCATTCACAGTTTTGGACCCAATTCCAGCTGAGGAACTGTTGGAGAAAATTGCTATGAATGGATCAACATGGTACTCGGGGCAACCTTCACAAATACCTGTAGGAGGCATGCATGAAGTGGAACAAATTTCAGCATTTTCAGCCAAGGTGGATAATGTAGCTTCCTTGGTCCAAAAGCTAGCCCAAATCACTCTTAAAAATCAAAATGTGAGTTATGTTTCTACTCCATCTATTTCTTTGGGTCAAGCTTTGATGCATGAGCTTTGTGGTGGTGGGCACAATTTGGGAGAATGCCTCAATGATTCAAGTTCTCAATCTCCCATGGAGCATATTAATATGGTTGGGTATAATAGGCCACAACAACAATCATATCAATCTCAAGGGCCTATAATCCAAATTCCTCAAGGATCACCCAGGTTTTTCATGGAGCAATCCAATGGGGGCTGCAAATCCACAACATTTTGTCAATAGAGGACCATCAGGTTTCCACAGGCAACAATACCAAGGTATGCAATCTCAACATCCTTCACCGGCTTTGGGCAACAATACCAAGGTATGCAATCTCAACCTCCTTCACCGGCTTTGGAAGCTCCACCGTACCAGAACCAAACTTGGAGGCCATGATGAGTATGTTGCTCATATCGCAGTTGCAAAGTGAGGAGGGGATCAAGCAAGTGACTGGGAGGTTGGATCAATTGAGTACCCACAATACGATGCTAGAGAATCAACTTGCCAATCAAGCCTCTACATCTTGCACCAAAGTAACAGGAAAGTTGCCCGCTTGCCCCGAAAATCCTAGAGAACATGTCAATGCAATTGTTACCAGGAGTGGAAATGTACTTGGAGAACCATCTCTTCCAATCAAAACATCAACTTCAAATAAAAGTGTTGATGTAGAGATTGAGGAGAAACTTGAAGAGGAAGAAGTTGAACCGGCTGTCTTGACACCAAAGTCACAAAGTCATGATGAGGTAGAGAAGCTCGTGAGAATGTATGAACCACCATTATTGCCCTTTCCTCAAAAATTTCAAAAGCAAGTTAAAGAGAGTAGGTGGAAAAAGTTTTTGGAGATAGTTGAGAGTTTGAAAGTTTCAATTTCCTTACTTGATTTGCTTTTAGAAGTTCCATCTCATGGAAAATTTTTGATGGACATTCTTGCTAAGAAGAAGAAATTTGGTGATCATGAGATGGTGGCTATGGCACAAGAGTATAGGGCTTTGGCACGCAGTGAAAATAGGAGCATATTGAAGCATAGAGATCTGGGAAGATTCACAATCCCATGTTTTATTGGAGGTCATATGATCAAAAGATCCCTTTGTGATCTTGGAGCTAGTGTCAATGTTATGCCTTTATCACTTTGCAAAAAGTTGAATTTGGGAGAGCCTAAACCGATCCAACTTACATTGACATTTGCGGATCAATCTACTACAAGTCCTATTGGAATTCTTGAAGATGTTCCAGTTTGGGTAGATACGTATTGTGTGCCTTGTGACTTCATTGTGATAGATGCCTCGAAGAATCCTGATGTTCCAATCATTTTGGGGAGACCAGGAAAAAGTAGAAGTTAATGTTATTAATGAGCCAAAGTCCACTGGAGATGAAAACTGTTCTATGGTTAATAGCAAGTCCCTTATGGATCTTGATCCCAGTTTTGAGATGACATATGAGGTGCATGAAAAGTGGAACAACTTCTTGGGTGGTGAGATCAATCTCACGGATCTACTGGGACGAGCACTCCATAATGAGGTTACGTCAAGCTAGCAACGTAAAACTTAGCGCTTTATGGGAGGCACCCCATGTTATCTTTCATATTGCATGTTTATTACTTTCTACTATTTTCGTTTATTTAGTCTTTTATTTAGCATATTTTAGTTCATGTTGTTTTATTGCTTTTTACCTTTCTCTTGTCTCTTGTTTTCCTTTTCTTTGATTTTGCATCAGGGACGATGTAAAATTTTAAGTGTGGGGGATGAACCAAAAATTTGGGATAATTTTTAAAATTTTTGCTTGGATGACTTAGTTTCGTGTTGACTTGTTGTTAATAAGTTACTTGTCATAGCATGCAGTTACAATTGCTCTCTCTCTCTTGGTGGTTTGTGGTTTGTTTTGGTGGTATTTGTTGTAATTCAATTTGTGATTGATGATTTGAGGTGTAACACATGATTGATCTATTCTCTTGCCAATAGTCTTGTTAACCACTCAATAATTAAATTAATTCGTGATCTTGTGTGTTATACATTGCTAGTGAAGGCTTATGTGAGATTCCGGTCATGGGTGTTTTGCTAGAACTTGCTCATTACTCCCTAAGTGAATCCTAAGTTTTGCATGTTTCGAAGTGATTCAGACCATTTTTGTTTAGCCATAGCCTTTAAGCATGTCCCTATGTATGTTATTATCCCTTGTGTCCCCTTTGAGCCTTATGTTTGTTTAAATAAGTGCTAAGCACTTGTCCCTCATTTTGATTATTTTCTTTGTGTTAACCCCTTCATCAAAACCCTCATCCTTTAGCCAGATATTTTCACTTCCACCCTTGAGAGAATGGAGCTTTTATCATATCCCTGTAGAAGAGATTTTTATGGAGTTTATATCTAAAAAGAAACTTTTGTACAAAAGTTCAAGTGTGGGGGTCTTGATTATTGATCTTAAGTTTATTCCTTGAGAGGGTATTGTATTCCAAAGAAAATCCAAAGAAAATAATAAAAAGAGAAATTATGAAAAAGAGAAAAGAAAAAAAGGATGATTGAAGATTGAAAGTTTGATTGTTTAGACCCCTTCTTAATTATAAGATTGCTTTGTTCTTGAGCTAAAACTCAACTTCTTAAATTGTTATTGTCTTATCTCTTCTAAGGTTTTGAAAAGAAAGATAATTGTGAACTTCTCTCTTTTGTTAAATATTCCTTACCACTTCTTTGTTAGCCAATCACCCTTAGCCACATTACAAACTTAATAAAGACATATTTGATCTTAGCATGCATTCTTAGAGTTGAGCTAGTAGGAGTATGAAGGGCAAGCCTATGAGATTTCATTCATGAGCCGTGTTTTGCAAAATCTCAACTAAGTATTTGTGCACACTTGATCCTAACACACTTTAATGATTTTGGTGTTTGGTCATTGGCTTGAGAATGGGTCTTATGTGCCAAACTGAGATCATTCTTGATGCTTGTTGTTTTGTGGCAAGTTGGTTGGTGGTATGAAAGGTTGTGCAAGAGAGAGTATGAGTAATTTGTATGTTTCACTTGTGATTTATTCCTTGGTTTTGCTTGAGGACAAGCAAAGGCTTAAGTGTGAGGGACTTTGATGTGAGCTTAATTGTATATATTTCTAAGTGTTAGTTTGATCATATTTGTTTGGCTCAAGTTTATGAAATTTTTACTTTAATTGCATATTCCCTTGTTTTATCATTTAGTTATGGTTTACACATGTTTTGAATGTTTTACGGTGTTTGTTAGTGTTTTGGAGCCATTGTAGGTTAATTCCAAAAGCAAGAGAAGTTCTAGCACGAGTTTTGAGCCGAAGTGGACCGAACCGTGCCAACACAGGAAGTTCGACGCGTCAAGCCCATGGCTCGACGCATTCAGTTTTTATAGTAACTATTTGGTTCTAGTGGTCGAAGACTTGACGCGTCGAGAATTTCCAGTGCGGTCCGAGACGAGCAGCCGAAGGCTTGACGCGTCGAGAAGTACCCGCGAAGAGACGAGCAAATTCGGTGCCCCAGATTCAACGCGTCGAGGCGCCGAAGGGCTGTGCCCAAAGTTTCCAATTTTTGCGGGGAAGATTCCTAATTCGCCCCAGCTCAATTTCCGCTATAAAATGATGCATTCCCTCAACCCTAGATTATTATGCTCAGTTTTGGAGACAAGAAAGAAGAGCATCAAGAGCTACAAGTTGTCATTGGAAGCAAGAAGAAAGCTAGAAAGATTTGGGAGAATCATTTGGTTTATTCTTGTACTCTTTTGATTATTTGTAAACTCTTAATATTTGCTATGTATTGCTTATTAGCCATGTGTGGCTAATTTCCTTTAGAGATTCTTGGGTAAAAGTATTTATGAACCTATGTGCCTAGCTAGTTTTATAATTCTTAATATATTTATATTTGAGTTTTATACTTGTGTTGCAATGGTGATTATATTGTTGATGCTAGTAGTTAACGGCTGTAATTACTTGTTTCATTGCTTTCTTTGTGTCATAACGGGAGTTAGCATAATTTATGGCACACACAATTGCACTTAACTGTTGCACCTTGGAAGATGGATAATTTGATAAGTAGTTTAATAATTTATGGCACACACAATTGCACTTAACTGTTGCACCTTGGAAGATGGAAAATTGGATAAGTAGTTTAATTCTTGATTGTTTCACATCGAGAGATGGTAGTAATTAAGAATTTATTATGAATGCTTGTTCTTATATTGTTGGGTGTTTATATCACGGGAGTGAATATTCACATAGGTAAGAGATTACGAGAGTAACTATTGCTACTATTTGCATTCTCACACTTGTTTGAACCCAGATTTAGTATTGTTCTCAAGTTTGGCACTAGGTGATTAAATACTTGAATCCCAAGAATCTCATTCTCTTCTTATTGTTTTCACAAACTTGCATACTTTATTTTAATTAGTTTTTACCATTGCTCAATCTCTCTTTTCGTTAGGATTAGCTTCATAAGAATAATTTAGTAGCTAGTGCTTAATACGCCCCACTTCTTTATGAATCGATAACTTGATACTCCGGGTATTATTTGTTTGAGAAATATACTACAACTAATGAATAATTTTATGAACGTTCCAGAAATGGCTATTACAATGCAAGAGTTCAGTAAACAAATGACCAAGTTACTTTGCAAGTATAACAATGGTGATTATTTCTATGAAGGCTCCAGAAATGGGCAAATGGCTATTACAATGCAAGAGTTCAGTAAACAAATGACCAAGGTACTTTGCTAGTAGCCTAGTATAACAATGGTGATTATTTCTATGAAGGCTCAGAAATGGCTACTACAATGCAAGAGTTCAGTAACCAAATGACCAAGGTACTTTGCTAGTATAACAATGGTGATTATTTCATTGTTAGTGTTTCTTGGGGAATTAGTACGTTTTGTGCATTGTGAGACAGTTTGAATTTTTGATGCTCTTTCAAACCGTCTCATACCAAATCAGGATCTCACTATCGAACGCGTTGGGTTCATCTTCCCTTCGAAGCGTACTTATTGATTTTTCGGCGACGGAAGAAGGCAAATAGTTGGTGTTTGTAGTTAACATATTATGTGCCTTCACAGTTAATAAATTATGTACATTTAAATAAATTGAGACCACATATGTTAACTGCATATTATGTGCCATTAGTTAACAGTGCGTTAATATATTATTATGGGCCTTCAATTTATTTACAAACATATAATTTATTAACTACTATTACGTAATATGTTAACTGCCAACACATAACTTGAATATTATTTTAGACCAGAGTCCACAATGCAAGGTGAACCATAGTCCATGGTATAATTTGTCTACATTGGGTTGCTGGCAAATTATAATATTATACCATGGACCAGTCCACTTTCCATTGTGGATCCTAATTTAAAACAACACAAATTATGGGCAAATTATTGTGTGGACCATGAATATTAGGTACATGTTTAATATATTAAAAGTACATTATTTTTGTATTGAAGGTACATTATATTTGTACTGAAGGTACATTATATAAAATAATGTATCATTAGTATATTAAAAATGCACTTTTAAAAAATGTATCCTACGTACATAAATAATTTACCCTTAGTATATTAAAAATGTACGGGGTACTTTTTATTTATGGTCCACACAATTGTGTGGATCATGGTCCATGCAATAATGATTGCAAATTATGTACCTGCAGTTAACATATAATGTACCTTAAGGTGGGTTAACATAATATGCACTTGTAAATAAATTGAAGGTATATAATATGTTAACTGTATATACGTAATATGTTAGTTGTAGTAGTTATAATAGATACATTATAATTTATTAATTGTCAATACATAATATATTAACTGTAGTCTGTAGGTACTTAATATGCTAACTATAGATACATATATGTTAATTGTAATAGATACATAATTTATTAATTGAAAGTACATAATATGTTTATTGTACGTACATACTTTTGAATATTGTTTTTTATCAAAGTCCACAGTGCAAGGTGGACCATGGTCCATAGTATGATTTTTACGCCTATTCAACGTCTTTTTTTTTTTTTTTTTTTTCACCCAAAAAAACCATGGTCCATGGTATGATTTTTACGCATATTCAACGTCTTTTATTTTTTTTTTTTTGGATGTTGGGGATTTCTCGATCTAGGCGTCTCCTATTTTTAAGTAATTGCTAGTTTTAACCAAGATAGTGGTGTGTCTTCTTGTGACTTAGCTTGGTGCTTCTTGATGTATGCTTCGCTCACTTACTGGCATAGCTATCTCTCATATTTACTGTACTGTGAACAGAGTTGCCTATTGTCTTACTAGGGAAGCCTATTCTATGTCTGTACGTCAGGAGTGGATCTCTTCCCCTCCGTCTTTTATTGTTAACGA